AACGAAATGAAAAAAATCACAAGAATTTAAAAAAAAAAAAAAAAAAAAAAAAAAAAAAAAAACGGAAAAAAGGTTAAAATAAGATTTCAACAACATATAATCAAGATTTCAACAAGAAAAATGAAGAAGAGGTTGGAAGAGGCAATACAAGTGTCGCGCCAAACAGAACACGTGCAAATGTTTTTCACTCTGAAGACTTCTAAAAACAAACAACTGCAAGATTAAAAGTGTTGCATGTGTGCTGTGTCACACAACAAGAAGAGGTCTGAAGAGATTTTTACAAAAAAACAAGCAACACCTAACAAAAAAAGGGACCGATACCTACAACATAACTCGTAAGAGAAACTCTATGCCAACAAAATTTAGGCTATTGTGGGTAATCATCACCAACAAATTTTCAACACGATATCAGCAACATAAAGTCATTACCGGAATATCGACGAAAGTGAGTTTGATATGGTTTGACCAATTTACCAAAGGAAACCAATACCAATGAAATTGTGATGTAATAGAGACAAAATGTGTTTGACCTGTTTAACCCAATGGATTTCGGATAGAACCTTATAACAATGGAATGTTTGTCACTAATTTGGTAGTAATTTGAATTTATTTTTAAAAAACGTAAATTTAAAAAATTGAAATTTTTTTTGTTCGGTATGTAGAAAAAAACAAATAATAAACCTATGATAATAATCATATTCAAACACAATCTTAATTAAACATTATATTAAGTGTCAATACACACAAATGTCTCATACAATTACAAAGTGTTAACAAACATAAAACTAAGAAATATCACCGAATAGATTATAGATGCATTGAATTGTCTTTTAGACATCTCCAATTGTTTTGTAATTGTGTTTGTTCTTTTCGCATGTTAGAGACTTCCTAACACAACCTTATCACCTAAAATGGTAAGACCATCATATATAGTTAGTAAATATATTTAACTTTTAAAAACAATGTACTTTAGTTTATCCTCTTTAATAAATGAAGATTTTTTTACCACTTGTCCTCTTCTCATTCATTTGGACACATGGTATTTTCTAGATTTTATAAAATTTTTATTTTCCACTTGTCATTTTATTGTATTTTTCATTTTATTAAATTAAAATTCCACATTTAATGTGTAAGGTAATATATATGTAAAATATTTATTAGAAAGAGTTTATATATGTAATATATTCAATACATTAAAGTCTCATTAATTTTAATAATTCAATTTTTTCTCATTTTTCTTATAAATTCAATTTTTCAAATTGTTAAAATTTTATATTTGTTTTTTTTAATTAAACCCATGTAATATATGGATCTCACACCTAGTTATCAATTTCGTTCATAATAACAACATACTACTTAACTTTTAGAACATAATAGCAATGTATTTTCATTTATTATCAACTTAACTCATAATAACAACATTCTACTTAACTTTTAAACCATCAAATAGCTTCTAGCCCAACGGTATATGGTGTTGTCCTCCCTCCTTGAGGTTGTGGGTTCAAGTCCTGTTAGGGACATATATAGATTTAGGAGTAGTTTAGAAGTAGAGAAGATTTGTCATTAAAAAAAAAACCCTTAACTTTTAAACCATAAAAACAATGTACTTTAGCTTATTATAAGAACATGTTATCAATTTAATCCATAATAACAACATACTACATAATTTTAAACCATAATAGCAATGCACTTTAGTTTATTATAATATGTTATCATTTAATCTATAATAACAACATAATACAGAACTTTTAAACCATGATAGCAAAGTACTTTAGTTTATTATAAGAACATATTATCAATCTAATCCCTTAATAATATAACAACCGTCAATTTCTGGTCAAGTCAAAGTCAAATAAAGTCATTACATTATGTTTACTATTGTACAACACAATATCTTAATGCAAAGTATCACTTTGAGTTTTCACGTGTTCAGAAAATCTAAACCCTAATCAGGGTAAGGATGGAACTACTCGATAAAACACTATTACATACCCTCCGGGGGCGTATAACACTCATAACGAGGCTTAATGGGGTTTACAAACCTTGCATTGAAAAGCTAAACACTCGCAAAGGTCACAAACAAAGTCTCTCTCTCTCTCTCCCAAATCTCTCACAACCTCTCTCAACTTTTTATAGTCACCTCAGGGCATCCCGACCCTTAACTTAGTCAAAAATCACTCGAAACGGAAAGATTAATGGAAAATTAGCCTTAAAGGGAGCGAATCCTCTTAAGGAACCAAACCCTAAGAACCGAACTCAAAAGACCGAATCAGCCCCTAAGAACTGAACCATAAAGACCGAACCTACTTAAGGACCGAGAGACCCTTCTGTCCGAATTACTGCGGAGAGACCCTTCGGTTCAGTTCCAGCCATCTTTCGCTTCACCTTCCTTTCCTTCGCTTTCGGTTCCCATTCGACGAGTTTCGCTAATGGAAAATCAGCCTTAAAGGGGGCGAAGCCTCTTAAGGAACCGAACCCTAAAGACCAAATCAGCCCCTAAGAACTGAACTGTAAAGACTAAGCCTGCTTAAGGACCGAGAGACCGTTCGGTCCGAATTACTGCCAAGAGACCCTTCGGTTCGGTTCCAGACATCTTTCGCTTCGCCTGCCTTCCCTTCGCTTTCGGTTCCCATTCGACGAGTTTCACCTGAGAGCATCTCGGACTAAGCCTACTCTCGGTTCTTGTGGACCGAACCTCGTACCAACCGAACTCTCGCCTCTTGGTCCCGGTTTTCGACCACTTTCGTATTTTAAGCACGTTTTTCATTACTTTCATGTGGAATTTTCACCCAAACTCATATTTTGACATATAAGACCCCATATATTCATACTTTAATCATATTTTAGGGGAAATCTCTAACTATGGATAATATCTTTTGTGCAAGATATTGTCTAAGAGTGTTGACTTTCCCATAAAGCTATGACAACAAGCCATCCCCCATAATAACAATGTACTTTAGCTTATTATAAGAACATGTTATCAATTTAATCCATAATAACAACATACTAAATAACTTTTAAACCATAATAACCACGGAGACACACTGTAGTTTCCTTCTTTTCTAAGTTGCAATGAATCTGGTGGAGTAACTTAAACCTATAACATCAGAAAAACCTGCCATCGAAAAGCTGAAAAAGAAGGGGTAATACTAGAAGTAGAAACCCAAAAAAGAATAAAAAACAATTAACCTTAAATTGAAAACTTACAGCGATCTTGACAATTTTTCTGAGTCTGCTGTAAAGGATCAGGGTGTTTGGGTCTCCGGGGGGTTTGGGTAGCGGAATGGCTGAAGAACAAACGGTATAATGTGTAATTACTGACCCAACCCTTTCGAGTTTTACTTATATCTCCGGCGAAAAAGGGAGCTGGGTTATATTTGCGTCTGATGAAAGCGAAACGACCGGATTCTTTGGATTTCCAACGCTTATTTATTTATAAAAGCTTTCCAAAATTAAGATTAATTTCTTAATAAAAGAACTTTAATTTATTAACTAGATGAGGATCCCCGCGTTGCGGGGATGGATGTGAAAGGAACTGATCAATAATGTAACTTACTAAACTAACTTAGAAGAACCTTCAGTTCAACATGAACATATTTAGAGTGTAAGGGTGATGTGGGATTTATTGTTTGGTAGATTAACCGGTAATGGAATCCAAAAACTGAAAAAAAAAAAAATGTTTCCACCGAAATGCCCCTGGTCAGTTTGATAACGATTTGAATACTTTAAAGAAAAAACCAACTAGCATTACATGCCAGCAGGTCATCCTTAAATAAAACAGAAAGAATGCCACATCATCACCATCATGGACCAAAGTTTCCCCAAAAGTCTCTCAACAGCAGCATGAACATTGCCCGAAGTAGCACATAAATCCCTAATATTCTCCTGCACATCAAAGAACACCATCTCCTAAAGTTGAGACAGTTGAGTTGCATAAAGTTGCTCTGGTGCCATTACAAATTAAAAACAATAATCATCGTCATCATCATAAATAAAAGTTCAGGGGGTAAAAACGTAAATTTACAAAAGAACTTGACTTACCATCAGGGACATTTGGGACTCCCATGCCACCAGGCTCCAAGTCCACCAAACATACTCATCAACATGTCGAATCCCATATTGTTTTGTGATCCTGTAGATTAAAAACTTGAAATAATACTAAAATGGCATATGATTTATAAAAATTATTAACAATGCAAGTGTCTAGTTACTACCTGGAGAAGCACCAGCCTGAGTAGGATTCCTGAAACAGAAAACTTAATGGGTTGAGCATGTAAAACTGACGAATATTGTTATTTGGTCTCTCATCCAAACCATCTATTCAGTCTAGAAAAGAAACAGGCCACATATATAGTTGTATACAATACTTTATTCAGACAGACAATATAATCCATTCAACTACTTCACCAATGATAGATATATTCAACTGATTCTTTTTTACTTAAAACATAAATGCCAACTTAATTGGATCATTTTGGCACTTAAATCAAATCAGTTACAGTAAAAAAAGCATTTCCACTTACAAAGTTGATTGTTGTTGATTAAGCTGGGGTAAAAGCTGCTGTAAAGACATCATTTGCTGTATAAAATAAATCAACTTATCATCAAACTCAAATTTACAACAGTCAAAATTACAAACCAAAATTACTCCACAATTTGTATACCTGCATCATTCGAGGTGAAGTTAACTGACAAAACACTTCTGGATTCTGCATCATCTCCCTCAACTGAGGGTTAGAATCGAACATAGTGCGAAGTTGAGGGTTTTGACTCACATTCTACAAATTCACATCACTAATACCACTAAAAAAAATTATAAAAGCTCCAATACCTCAACTATAGTGTATATCATGTTTAACATACCTGTTGCATATACTGGGGATTTGAAAGCAAGATTTGCATCATCCAAGAAACAGCTGGATTCTGCAACAGCTGGCTCATGTCCGGCATGCCACCTGTCATGTCTGCCCGTGGTAAACCACGACCACCTAATCAGATACATTCGGTGCCCTTGTTGGCTGAAAACCACCTAATCATTTTCACCATACAAAGATATAAGATAATAGTTTAAAAAAATAAAAAAAAGTCTTGAATGTGAAGTTTATAATGTCATTTATACAAGAAGGGGCACCCCCCAGGGTTAGGAAGTCGGTTAGAATTAGGAGCTGCAGAGCTTGGAGTTGTTTCAGGATTTATCGCACATACAACATCTGAAGGTCTAACTTCAGTTTTTAAGACCAGAAAATGTGTCATTTCAAATTGAATAAAATATGACTACAAATCGAAATCACTTGGCCGAATCAGATAAATAGCGAATCGAAATCAGACACACAGCAAATGGAAACCACATAAATCGAAATCAAAGCCAGATTTGCTCATAAATCGAAACCACATAAATCAAACGTCCAAGAGCATAAATTGCATCAGCCCTGCCAAGGCAATTCAGTATATATAATATAAACAATCCGTATTTCACTCATAATATGTATCTGCACATGCTTATGGTAGTATGAACAGAACTTGTGACACCTGCATAAATAGTTGTACATTCAAGATTCATGAAAAAGAAAGGTTTTTTATTGGGAATCTTATTGTTTAATTACTTGATTTGAAGAGTAACTAAACCAAGCTTCCCAAGAAGAGCCTCTATGCCAAAGAGCATCTTTCATGGAGAAAACTGAGTGATCTTCTTCTTCGAAGCCTTATTCTTTCCCTCCTCCTTCATGTTCGTTTTCGTTGAAATTATATGGGATTATCGAAGCCTCTGCTTGTTTCTGACCCGACATTTTCTTCGATTTCAAATAATAAATCTCCTTCTATTCTCTTTTCTAAACGGATCTGTCAGCACATGCAAGGACAACTAAATTAGGATTAACAAAAACGCATCAATTCCCAAATCAATAAATCAATGCCCATGAAAAGTATTATAAGAACGAAAAACAAAATAAAGGAGTCGGATTCACTGTTCAGTATCTACAGCGGATCGGATCAAATAGGGTTTGGTTTGGAATTGAAAGAGATTAAAAAAAAGAGGGTTTTGAGGGTGATAGTTGATGGTATAAGTGTATCAGTATGCTCCATTGCTCCTTCTCACATTCTTTCTTTACTTAACGGCTCCAAATCGTGCTAAAGAACATAAGAAGTACGAATACATACTGTTGTTGGGAATCTCCACCACCGGCACAGTTCCTTCATCAAACCTGGCAAGTAGGTCAAATCCATGAAGTCAAAAAAAAGATCACATACGAAGCAAAGCAGAAAGACAAAATGATTACCAAGAATCAACGGGGGAGTTAACCGATGACAATCAACCACTTCTGAAATTTCGGTGGAGAAGATAGAGTAGGATGCATCTTGAATTTTTGTAATCGACTTCCAAAATTAGTGTTATCTACTCTCGATGAAATCAATGCCGTGTGTGTATACAGAAATCAAAAGCCGATTGGGCAAGGAAACGGTGAAGCAAAATAAAAATAACACGTGTGGATAAAAGAATACATATAATGGAAAAAGATGCTCCCTACAAAAACAAAAAACAATTGTAAACAACTTGATAGACAAAGGATCAAAACTGCCAAAAACTCAGGAACTTCACTGTACCTAAGGAGGGATAATATTAATATATATATATATATATATATATATATATATATATATATATATATATATTAGATTAATCCAATATAATAATATTTTGCGTGGAATTGAAGATTGAGGAATTTTCAGGTTAGAATGTTAGATGCTCTAGGAGAAAGAGACAGTGGCAAAGTAGTCATTTTACTTGGACTGCATGGACAATTTGTAACACCATTAGCACCAAGGGCAAAGCTTGCAACAAAGCTATACTATAGACCACTTTTGCATTTATATTAATAAGTAATCATCAAAGTACACTTTGGTTTCTTACCTTGGCTCTGTATAGATGAAAGTGTTCAACACCTCCCATAACCTTATTGTCTTATCGTATTCTACTTCCCTGAATCAAGGTGATAAATTTTAATTAGTGTTGTAGTTTGTGAGGGTAGAAGAGTAAATTTACTTGTCGTTGGAATTCAATCAGAATCAAAAGTAATTCAAGCAAGTGATAAACTTTAATTAGTGTTGTAGTTTGTGAGGGTAGAAGAGTAAATTTACTTGTCGTTGGAATTCAATCAGAATCAAAAGTAATTCAAGCAATCGTTTTGTTTGAGCAAGCTGTGCAGTGGATTGTTGAGTAGTTCCACCAGCAGCTGCCTTATCAAAACAGTTACAGAAATATTGGAAACCGCAGCTAAGAAATGGAATCATGGAATCTGACGGTTGGAATTCAGAGATTCCATTTCGAGAGGTGTTTGGTTTATGCCGAAATTCAGTCCTATTGAATTTTTTGAAACTCACATCTATGAATTGGAATCATGGATTCTGGTGGAACTGGAATTCAGGATTCCATTCAATTGTGCATTTGGTTGAAAATTTGGATAGAATTCAACTTTCATCAAATTCCTATTATATTTGATTGACTTGAACTATTCATAGGGGCAGGTTGAAGGAATTCAGTTTCATTCTTCTTTTTTATATTAAATGACCAAAATACACTTGTTATATATAGTTAGATAGAGGGATGACCTTTGATAACGCATAGAGTTGAGATTGCATGCTGTTTTGATCACAACTGGACTTTGCGCCTGATCTTTCCATTAAAGAAACAAAACACCATAAATCTTATGATTCATCTTTCATGATGAAAGAGCATTTTTTGTGAGAGATCACTCTGCCCTGTGAGGAAAAAGAATTGTTTATTTATGATTAAAAACACAAAAAAGTTAACAATTATATTTAGTTTTGTCTCAAGGTTCATCCGTGGCACTAACAATGTTAAAAATATGTTTATAAAAATGACTGACTAGTTTTAGGTAAATTGATTTTTTTACCCTTATCTTCATCTTCTCAATCTCCTTTCATCGTAAATCATAATGATTTTTTATATTTGGTGAAAATGAAAACATTCTACTTTCAGTGATTGCTTATTATATATAGCATCCAACTTTCCTTTCAATCTTATAACAACATTCTACTTTCAAGATCCACCCAATGTAAGCAATGTCATACCCCTCCATTAGTAAAGAACCCAAGCACTTGAAAAATATAGGGTTTAAATGCAAGAAATAACAATGTATTTTTAGTGATTGCTTATATATATAAATATAATACCCATCATATACTCTTTTATATAATCACCATATACTAAGGCAGCTATATCATCTGGTTGGGCCTTTTATGTATGTGATGTGTGCCAAAAGGAAGATAAGATATAGATAACTGAAATAAGCATGGGTAGTATTAGGACGAAAAAAACTGACATTTTAACCAATTTAAGATTGCTGATACTTACACATCGATGGATAGAAGTTAATTTCAAAAAAAAAAATTGCAATCAGCAACATTTGCAATCAGGTTTCCATGGGAAACTACTACCATGTAGTAAAAGGAATAAGTGGAAAGATATTATTAAACTTTTTTATAGTTGAAAAGAAAAGGCAAAAGGCACAAATGAATAAGAAAAAGAAACCCCTTGTATAACATTTTGTAGCAACATCATCTGGTTTTGGTGGACAAAAAGGGTGATGCTTGTTATTACCCTAAGAAGCACCAATTCATATGCAGATAAATCAGTATTCAAATGCCAGAAATCATTAAAGATTAACCAACTCAAATCAAAGAAACTCATGTTACTTAAGTATGATAAAGATACTTTTACTATATAATGAAAAACTACCTCATTAGGAGTTTCCTCATGTCTATCGGAGTACACATTCATTCATCAACTGGATGTTGTGCTTAATTCTATCTTACAAATGCAACAAAACTCTTACATTGGCTTTGATAGATGACTACAAGCCATAACTTCTAACATACGTTTCATTGCCACATCAAATATTCCAAAAAAAGCATATTGCATGGATCTCTAAAGAGAGTAATAGAGTAATTTCAACTATATTACATCAAGATTGAATAACACATGTAGATACTATATTCGATATATTCAATATATTCAATATCGGTTCCAGTAAGGCATCAATATTTGTTCACCCTTATATTACAGATTTCCTACTTCTGATATACAAAAATTTGGAACAACTTTTATACATTTTCATTTGGGTCAATCATAACATATAACAGACTAATTATTTACAATAATCTCTATGATATTATTTTAGAAAAAGGTAATAATTACCGAAATTGAAATGTTATCTAAGATTGTATTAGATCTTACTGAGCCTATATGTTGTTGACCAAGCAGGTGTTTATTAGCCAGCTTTAAATAGTACTATGTTATAGACGTTTAGACTTTCAAAGGACAATGTGAAATAGAAAAAACAAGATAAAAAAGTTGAAAGGTACAATATATATGAAAAAAAAAAAGAAAAGGAAAATATCTTGATAGGTTAAATTTAGAGTACTATGTTATAACTATTTAGATTTTCAAAGTACAATGTCCATGTTGGAAAAACAAAATAAAAGTATAATGCTATAACTGGTAACCAAAAACAAACATGTTTAGTTTTTCTAGGTACAGTAAAAAAATAAATTTACAATGTCTTAATAGGTTTGATTATGAAAGTATTGGTACCCTGGATCTTAATTTTGTTTTAGGTTTAGTTAAATTTTTGGGTTTTGGTTTGATTAGAGTTTAAGATGGAGATTGAGGAATTTTATGGTTAGATGATGAAGGAGAAAGAGCGTTTATGCTTAGATGATGAAGGAGAAAGGAACAGGGGCAAAATAGTCATTTTACTTGGACTTCATGGACAATTTGTAAGAACATCAGTACCAGGGACAAAGCTATACTATAGACCAGTTTTGCATGTATATTATTAAGCAATTAACAAAGTATAGTTTGGTTTCTTACCTTGGCTCCGTATAGATGAAGGTGCTCAACAACTCCCATAGTAACCTTTTTGCCTTATTGTATTCTACTTCGCTGAAACCATGTAATAAATTTTAATTAGTATTGTAGTTTGTGAGGCAAAAAAGCAATTTTACTTGGAGTTCATGGACAATTTGTAACACCATCAACATCAGGAACAAACCTTCCAACAAAGCTATACTTTATAGAACACTTGTGCAACAAATGAAACATCTAGATGAAAACCATAACTTTTGAAATTTTACAAGGACAAAATTGTAATTTACTCTATAAATAATAGGGACATGCGACCTGGCAGTAACTAAAATCAATGTTGTAGAACGAGTAAGCCAAGTTTGTCTTTTATTTTGTTAAATACTAATAACTTGTACCACATAGCATAGGATATGAATTCTATCCTGAAAGATTCAATAATATCACACAGATTATATTCTTTAAATTATCGAAAACTAAAAGTGCTAGAAAGTTTTGTAAATTGTAACCTTTAGGTAGTGCTTGCCTCTTCACATTATTAAACAGTCTTTCTCTCACACCATAAGATGACTTCACTATATTTATGACACTGCAATAACCACACACTAACAGAACAATTTCAAGTTATCCTACACAAATGAAAATACAGTGTAAAGTTTTGTCCCCTATAAAAAGTCAAACTTAATTTGGATAGAGAACATAAGCTTGAAGGATATGTATAACTGAAATGAGCATGGGCAGTATTAGAACAAAATAATGGTGAAACAATTGGCATTTTATAAACCAAGTTGAGACTGCTGATACGTACACATCCAATGGATAGAAGTTAATTTCAAGTTACATTTGTGGTGTTGCACCTTTTTATTTTTCAAAGAGACTATCAAACAATTAAAAAAAAAAAAAGAGTAGTTACATTTGTCAAATAACGAAAATTACCTTATCAGGAATTTCCTTGTGTCTTTCAAGATACACATTCATCAACTTAATAGGTTAGATATCGAAAGTATAGTGCTATATGAGAGAGTATAAAACTATAATTGATAAGAATTTAATCATACAATGTTATACTTGAAAAAAAAAAAAAAAAACATTAAAAAAGTAGCCACATTGAAAGCATAAGGCTATAACTGACAGTTGCAGTGCTACAATTGGGTAGGTTTTTCAAAGCATAATGTTTTAACAAGAATAAATAAAAATAGAACTTAATACGTTTAATTATTAAAGTACTATATCCTATTTAGAATAAAGTTGATTGTTCAAGGTCATTATAGGATTAAAGCTTAAAATAAAATGCTATTTGTAACAAAAATCAAACAAGTTTTCAATGCACAATGTCATAATAAGAAAAAAGATGAAAGTATAATCCTATAAATGCAACCAAAATCAAACATCTTTAGATTTTAAAGTAATATAAAAGTACAATATCTTAGAAGGGAAAGTAATTATAATTTAAAAGGAAACTTATTTTTTGTTACATATATAACCCCCCTCACATTCACTGATGTTTTTTATACAAAGGTATGTCAAAATTGGTGTGTTAGCTGTCATGTATTCGAAAAGTTAGGCTTACCAAGACTTACCAAATACAAGCATTCATATTTTGATGTTGGGATCTGTTATTGGTATTCCACTTTGAATGATTCTGTATAAACCTACACAAACATATAATTGTTAAATATTAATAATGGTTGTAATTCTAGAAAGTATAATTTTTTATGGGAAAATAAATTATTAAACATAACAGATCCTTCAGTAGCATAGTCACAGTTCAACATATACAAATCAAAGAATGATGATACGCAATATTGAATTTTTAACAAATATGAAGAGCAACCATGACAAAGTACACTTTTGCATGTATATTATTAAGTAATCAACAAAGTACACTTTGGTTTCTTACCTTGGCTCTGTATAGATGAAAGTGCTCAACACCTCCCATAACCTTATTTTCTTATCGTATTCTACTTCCCATAAACAAGGTGATAAATTTTAATTAGTGTTATAGTTTTTGAGGGTAGAAGAGTAAATTTACTTGTCCTTGGAATTCAATCAGAATCAAAAGTAATTCAAGCAAGTGATAAACTTTAATTAGTGTTGCAGTTTGTGAGGGTCTTATTAAGAAAAATATATATATATAGAATTAAAACGCTTAAATATGTTAGATTTTTAAATGGAGAATGCTATAAATGTTAACCAAAAGCAAACAAGTTTAGATTGGCAAAATACAGTCTTAATATTGTAAATTTTATAATGCAATATATGAATAAATAAATAAGTACAATGTGTCTTAATATGAAAATATATATATATATATATATATATATATATATATATATCTCGATAGGTTAAAGTTAGAGTACTATGTTATAACTGTTTAGATTTTCAAAGTACAATGTCCATGTTGGAAAAACAAAATAAAAGTATAATGCTATAACTGGTAACCAAAAACAAACATGTTTAGTTTTTCTAGGTACAGTAAAAAAATAAATTTACAATGTCTTAATAGGTTTGATTATGAAAGTATTGGTACCCTGGATCTTAATTTTGTTTTAGGTTTAGTTTAATTTTTGGGTTTTGGTTTGATTAGAGGTTAAGATGGAGATTGAGGAATTTTATGGTTAGATGATGAAGGAGAAAGGAACAGGGGCAAAATAGTCATTTTACTTGGACTTCATGGACAATTTGTAAGAACATCAGTACCAGGGACAAAGCTATACTATAGACCACTTTTGCATGTATATTATTAAGCAATTAACAAAGTATAGTTTGGTTTCTTACCTTGGCTCCATATAGATGAAGGTGTTCAACAACTCCCATAATAACCTTTTTGCCTTATTGTATTCTACTTCGCTGAAACCATGTAATAAGCTTTTATTAGTATTGTAGTTTGTGAGGGTAGAAACAGAAGGAATCATGGATTCCAACAGAGTTGGAATTCGAGATTCCTTTTCAAGACATGTTTGATTGACAATTAGGACGGAATTCAGTAATATCATGTTTGAAAATCGCAGCTATGAATTAGAATTGTGGATTCCGGTGGAATTGGAATTCAAGATTCCATTCAATGGTGCATTTGGTTGAAAATTTGGATCAAATTCAACTCTGTCAAATTCCATGGATTTTCATACTTCATGGACTTGAACCATTCATAGGGGCCGGTGGAAGGATTTCAGTTACATTCTTCCTTTTTTATTAAATGACCAAAATACCCTTGTTATATAGTGACATAGAAAGAGTTGAGAGTGATTGTCGTTTGCAACAAAGCTTTACTATATACCACTTTTGCATGTATATTATTAAGTAATCCACAAAGTACACTTTGGTTTCTTACCTTGGCTCTGTATAGATGAACGTGTTCAACACCTCCCATAACCTTATTGTCTTATCGTATTCTACTTCCCTGAAACAAGGTTATAAATTTTAATTAGTGTTGTAGTTTTTGAGGGTAGAAGAGTAAATTTACTTGTCGTTGGAGTTCAATCAGAATAAAAAGTAATTCAAGCAATCATTTTGTTTGAGCAAGTTGTGCAGTGGATTGTTGAGAAGTTCCACCAGCAGCTGCCTTATCAAAACAGTTACAGACATGTTGGAAACCGCAGCTAAGAAATGGAATCACGGATTCTGACGACTGGAAATAACAATGTATTTTTAGTGATTGCTTTTATATATATATATATATATATATATATATATATATATATATATATATATATATATATATATATATATATAAGTAATCACTAAAACAAACACAGTAGTTTGAGTTTCAACCTCATCTTGTGCCTCAATAAACACCTTTTTACATAGTATCATAAGTTCAAGTTACTAAGCTCACTCAAAACAAATATATTTTATACTTTTTTCCACCTTAAAGATCCAACATTTGACTATATATAACCAAACAATTTCATCAGGAACTACTCACAACATCTCCAACAAAAGCCTCCCATAGTTTCTTTCAATTTCAGGGTCACTTTCAGTATCAAACTACAGCCTACATGCTAATTGAAACAAAATTATATTAATTTTTAGAGAAGATTAATTTTGCATATAAATGTAACAGCTATAAAATAGAAATGGAGTGAATAAGAATGGACATTTTTCTCCATTATAGAAACTGTAGAAAAAATGAGAAGACATTAAGTTGAATACACTGCTACCTTTTGGTTTTGCTTCAGCAACAAATTAAGCAACCTAAAAACATTAATATTGTGATTTGCTTTTAGAAATGTAGGGTAAAATGGTCATTTTGGTCTCATTCTTTGTGAGTATTCACAAAAAAATATATATATACAAAACATTTTTTATGATGTTTTACCTGTGTCTGATCTGAGTGGAGATAATACAACAGGACCATAATCTTCTATATTCTTTTTGTACCTGAAAATGAAGAAAACAACAACATATAAGAGGTTCAAATGCTAATTTTGTTAGAAAACCTTTCAGACATGAGGAAAGTGTACAACTTGACTTGAGCACTATGCCGCATTGGTTGCTTTTATATCACTGGTTTCATTACTTTAAGAAGTGACTTTTACATGCATCAATGACTCCTTTCAATCTGTATTTTGGAGCTCACTCCTATATCAATAATCTAAATGAATATACGACAACATACCATGATTCAACTTACTATTCCTAAACAACTAATGATAATCAGAGTATTAACAAAAAGATGAGATGATTACATCGGTAATTTTCACCTTCTGAAGTCCATCACTAAAATATGAGCCAAAATCAACCTTAAAGAGCTGTATTGAGCATAAAATGTATAAAAAAGGAAAAAGGCTCTTATTTCTTAACATGAATGGAAACAAGAATCAAAACATTAAAAGTTTTAGACTTCAAGAAAAGAACATTTGTTCACATAAGACATGAAATAAATAATGCATCAAAGGGAAGAGAAGATTAAAAAAAACATAATCATAAAGACCATTATAATATACTTCAATAAAGAGCATGATCAAATCAAAAGGCCACTACTGATATTCAACAAGCATTTATGAAAAAACAGAGAATTGACACAAATACCTTCTTGAACATCAACATTGAGCAAGCATCTCATCAAAATGGAAGGGAATTCACATGTTTATGTTTCTGCTCCCCATCTTTCAACAAGAAACCTGAAAAAGGAAACACTTACTAATGAATAAATCCAAACTTTTATCAAACAAATAAAATTATATTAAAATGGGATGGATAAGCTCTTTAGAAAAGATTAATTTTGCATATAAATGTAAAAGTTATAAAATAGAAAGGGGTGAACAAAGGACAAACCAGACAAACTGCAGATTAACACCAAGCAACTCTTTTTGCTTCAACAACCTAAAAAAAGGTCCATTGTCACCAAAAGATTGTTATCAAAAGAGTTGAAATTCGTGATTACAAAAATAGATTAAGAAGAAAGAAAATAAGTTCCAAGAAAACCTAACTTTTATCTTCAAATAAGAAGGCAAAGTATAAAAGCATGAATGGGCTATAAATGGGTTGGTTTTTCAAAGGGAAATGAGCTTATAATGTTGTAACAAAAAGAAAACTTAAAATGCAATGCTATAATTTGGTTGATTTTTAAAAAGGTAATGTGCTTCTAATAAGAAATCTGAGAGTATAATCCTATAACTTATGAACTTTTTAAAGTGAAATGCTTTGATAAGAAAAAACTAATACATGTTTCATTTTGTATCTTCGTTGTTCTAAATGACTGATGAAGATAATGAACTTAAGAACAACAAAGAGTAGGATCAATCAACAATCAAAAACAATTACAAATATAAATAAAACCAAAAGATTCTAAAATGATCTTTGTATAAAACGAATGCTATGAAAAATAAGAAATTGATAACCAAGAAACTCAAAGACCCTAACTTTCAATTAGGAAAGAAACTATAGAAGGAACCTCTGTCATTCAAAAATCAAAACCCTTTGAAAAAAAACATTCAAGAAGAATCAAGAACAAGATAATGGACAGATGATAAAACAAAATATGAAAATCAATAATGGTTGAAGAGACATTTCTTGGACTTACTTCCTGATAATAAACAATTCTAAAAAGTTATAAAACAGATGAAAATAATTTAAATAAGATTAAGTTTATCAAAAAGAAAATGTAAATAATGTTGAAATTTGCTTATAGAAATGTAGGGTAAACTGGTCATTTAATCTGTTTGGACTCCTTTCAACCTTTATTTTGGAGCGCACGCCATTTCCCTAACAAAATGAAGTATTAGATTTAGATGAATTAAAATTTATGATTAAACAACTAACTATATTCCATGTATTCACAAAAAGATGAGATGACAAACCTTGGTTTATTTTCACCTTTTTAATAATTCCATCACTAGGGCCAAAATATATAAACCACCACATCAAATGCCTTAATTTGACAAATACTTGAATGTTGACTTTTCAAACTTTTTGTGCCTCACATATTTTGTGAATTCACAACCTGGAGATAGAAAAAAAAATAGAAAAAGATAAAACATATTCAAAAAAGAAAAAGATAAACATACAGACAAAGTTAAGGGATGTTTCTTTTTCACATAATGAGGTTAATGAGTTAAGCACTTAATCTGGAAAGCAATACAACATTGTAATTGTTGTTTCTTTTTGACTTATTTTGCACTTTTTTTCCTCCCTAACTCCTCTCACATTCAAATTGATAAATAATGTTGAAATTAATGATCATTGTGAATTTCCTTTTAGAAATGTATGGTAAATTTTGTTAGAATATAGAACAACTTTCAGACATGAGAAAAATAATCATCAAAAAGAAAACAGAGAAGTGAACAGAGCATTTGATCACACAAGACATGAAATAACCAAGGCATCAAAAGGAAGAGAAGATTAAAAAAACATAATCAAAAAAGACCATTATATATACTTCAATAAAGACCATGATCAATCAATAGACCATTACTGATATTCAACAAATATTTATGAAAAAACAGAGGATTGACACAAATACACCCCCATTTGAACATCAACATTGAGCAAACATCTCATCAAAATGAAATTATATTAATGAATAAATCCAAAGTTTTATCAAACAAATGAATTTATATTAATATAGGATAGATAAGCCATTTAAAGAATATGAATTTTGCATATAAATGTAAAAGGTATATAATAGAAAGGGGATGATGCATAAGAATGCACAAACCAGATAAACTGCATATTACGACCAAGCATCTGTTGACATGAACTAAACTTCAGTAAACATATGTGTATTTTCCTCCATTAAAGCAACTGTAGAAAAAACGAATGACATTAAGATTCATACAAGAAAGTTACTAAAGGAAAAAGTTCGTTACACTGCTATCTTTTGTTTTTACTTCAACAACCTAAAAAAGGTCCATTGTCACCAAAAGATTGTTATCAACAGAGTTGAAATTTTTTATTACAATAACAGATTTAAAAATAATAATAATAATTCCAAGAAAGTAAATAATGTGGACAGATAAGAACACTGAACTTTAATATCCAAATAAGAAGGCGATGAGGACTTATTGCATAAAATATAGAAAAAGTTATAGGGATGACCCAAAATTTAATAACATAAAAAGGAATAACTCAGAAAAACCCGTAACAGCTTTCATTATCACAGGAAAGGAACAAAAAAAAAGAAGTTTAGATGAATAAAATCAAAAGATCACTCTGATTCGCTCTGTATCTACTAGTTCCACAAGAAAGTCGAGCAATAAACTTAAGCAGGATCAAGAACGTGATCAATGGACTAGCCAAAATAACTGCAATTTGATAAAACCAAAAGATTCGACGATTATCTCTGTTCTACATGAAGAACATGATGAAAAACAAGAAACTTATAATCAAGAATTCGAAAACCCTAATTTTCACGTAGGAAACTTTTGTATAAGGAACCTTTGACTTTCAAAACTGAAAACCAAGAAACTCAAAAACCCTAATTTTAAAGTAGAAAAAAAAATGAAAAGCCCTCGAAAAGTTGTATCAAAGAAGAATCAAGAAGAAGAGGAGTGAC